TGGAATTCACGTTTATGAATATTCCAGTTCTTCCTGGAATACACCGATGATACAGTAAACAAAAGAAGGATGTACAACATGTGCGCCACAGTTGGTGTGCTAAAGCCGAAACTTCTGTACATACGTGTCACGTGCGATGCCTATGCAATGGACGCGACAGCGATCGCTGCTTCGCTAAGCAGATATCCTTAGCGTATGATAAAGTACGAAGCCGTTAACCTTTGTCATTTATGATCACTGCAGCGAATTCGTAAAATGGACCAATATACTCGTCATTTACATTGTGGTGTTCTTTGAACGTACATGTTTTGGCGCTACAAGTGGCATAATAGACACAAACAGTCGATTGTCTGGCTGCTAAACCCCTACGTGCCACTTCGCATTTTCGGTTTATTGGGTTTCGACGAATCCCTTGGCCAACATTCTTGTGAAATTAAGCCCGTAAAGCCATGTTATGAAAACTTCTTACATAGAGATGTAATAAACAAGAATGCGTAAGAGTATCCACGCAGACGAGCTCTTTGTTATATTAAAGATTGTATAAATAAACGTGAAATATTTACAAATTGAATCATATAAAAAGAATTGCCTCTTGAATATATTTGCTTATCACACGTCTCGTGAACACAAATAATTAGGTAATGCTACATAGAACAGATATAAAATAAAGGACCATAAACAAAACGCCCAGATAACTGCATACTTGAATAGAATGGCTGTTTCTATTGTTTTTTTTCCTGCAGGTAAATTTTCAGCAGCAAACTAAATAGCTGTCGTGCGTATGCAAAATGCAATTGAGAAGAGTGCTATAGTGAACAGTGCTATTATGACTGATGAAATAAGTAGGTAATAATCAAAAAAACCAAAGTTGGAGAAAGCGATAGAGAGAATGAATACAGGAATGTCGGGAAGGTTAACTAGACTATGTCCTGTTCACTACTCTACTCGTGGAGAGATGTGAATAAGGAAATAAAAAGAGAGAGAGAGAGAAAGACGCCTTTCACAACACACGCACAGTGCAGCGTATCGAATTTCGGGAAGGTTCGTGAGGCTTTCCGGGATGATGTGCTGTGAGGCCAGGCTTCCAAGGTCTTTCTTTCAGTGAAAGACCTGTCGTCGAGTTGAAAAATGTTGTCTTTAACGGGGCGATACCTACAAAAAACAAAGAACCTCTCCAAATTATTGTTATATTGCCCCACATGATCCGGCTGCGTGAAAATTTTCACATATATTTCTATATACTACGGGCGCGGGAGATGGCGGAGACCCGCAGCTACCTGGAATAAGGAGGCCGCCCACAGTGGGCGCACAGTGCGCTTTCTCAAATAAAAGTTTATTCTCTCTCTGTATGCACCAAGATTTAAGCACGATCTCAGCCTTATTATCTGAAAAGAAAGAAAGAGAAGGCGCGACGTGAGTCGTCAATACTTTTTGATAAAGTTCTCTCCACTGTCAAGGTAAATCAACCGATACGAGGCCTGGTGTGCATTTATGACCAGCGTATAGCACTGACAATATTGTAAACATTATAATTTCAGCGTGGGTGCTCTCTAATAAGAATTGAGAACAACGGACATGACATATGCGAGACACAATTGATTGACTGGGTATTTACGCAACGTGAATACTACACCCAATTTACCTTCTATGTAGCCAACGTCGCACTATTGTAGTATTCATTTGCACCGCCCATAGCGTTTATGTCTTCAACGGAGAATATGTCTCGGCCATTGAGAAACGCGATAGATTAGAAAAAAAGAGAAGAAAAAGAAGTGCTGTGCGGAAAAGCAAGCTCCACTTTTCGGACGCCTCACTTAATGAACAGTGCAATGAAAGGACGGGGCGAATGATGCCGACCAAAAGCACAGTGGCGTTAGGGGACTTTCTCTTTTTTACCCTTCCTATTCGCAGTCATGGGCCGCGCATTTCACTTAGCCCGCTGTCCAAACTTACCCGTTCTGATAAGGCGCACAGCCCGGGCTTCGCGCTTATCGAAGCGCAGGCCGCAAATTGATTAACTGTCGAGGTCGATTGGCGACCGCTAATAAGCGAAACCGTCGTGCATGACCCCTTATTGAGCGGGCCGCCCTTTATCCCTCTCCTCCCTTCAGCGCGCAAACTTTTGCGCCTGCTTTTGGCCCTTCGCTGCACAGCCCTGCCCTGGCTGTCGGCGGAAGAGCATCGCGGCCGGCCGGTTGGCGGGCTCGAGTTTTCGCCCCCTCTTCCTTTCGTTCTGGCCGTTCGGGAGGGCGCCGCTCGTTTCCCACCCGACGGGAAAAAGTGGAGCGACGGGCGAGCCGATTAAGCTGAAAGTTTCGGGACGCTTCGCGCACCCGGGTCGGAGAGGGGGGTTCGTTCAGGTACAATTTTTCAGCGGGAGCTTTAAAGCAGCACTCACGTGCCCAGGCAGCCCCAGCCTTTTGTGGAGCCGCTTTCCGGGCCTTGCATATTTGACGAGGCACTTCCTCAGAAAGGGTAAGGTGGCGGCGGTGCTGGGGGACCAACCCGGGGGAGAACATTGACACAGAGTGCCCGCATTTCTAAAGCTGCTAAATGACGTCTGCCTAAACCTATCTGTATCTTCTTTCTTCATTCCTCGCTGAAAGTAAGAGCACTTTTCTGCTCTGTTTGCCGTATTATACCAGAATAATATACGCTGCTGCATTTTAGTTTTCACCATATAACGTCTTTCTCCTTTTTTTTAGGGTTTTAAACGCCCTGCTACTGTAAAATATGAGGATTGCGAAGGTATTTCTGTTTCTAAACGCTGTCATTTTATTCTGAATACCAGATGGAAGTGCATGCACAACAAACCAATTCGTGTGTGTCTCTCCTTTTTTTGAAGTGCTTTTTTTTGCACCAGCTATATGATTCTTTCTTGCGCTTTCTGTTACACGTCCTAATGTGCGGGTATACGAACGATGCCAGTGTGAGTGAGTCACCAGAGTCCGTTTTGTTACTTTTTCTCATTCATTTTTTTTTCTTGTGGGCTCTAAAGGAACGTCACTGTCAAGCCCACTTTTGCGTCGTAAAATACATTTCCCAAATTGATTACGGGTCATTTTTCAACATAGAGAACTTTTCGAGATCCAAATATGGAATGAGTTTTTTTTTTTTCGTGCTCCTCACAAATCAATTTTAGCCATTTTGCTTGTCTGTAGAGTGGTGGCTTCCTAGGGTACTGGCGCGCTGTGTTGTTGATTTTAGCTGTTGTCTTTACTACCCAGTATTAGGTTGAAATACAATATTGCATCAAGCTCGTTGCGGTGTTCCCTCTGGGAAAACTTGTGACACCAGTAGATAAAATTACACTGTGAATTGGTCGACTCAAAACGAACCACATTGGCATCTCCGAGAAGCGTAAATATTCGCGTATAGCAGGGCGTCCAATGAGATTTGTATTGACAAATCTGGGTCGTGATTTTTCACAGCGTATAGCGTTTTATGATCTTCCTTCTCCCACCTTTCACACTTCGTTAGCTGCGAAAGCGAAGTTGGGCCTACGTTTTCGAAGAAAAAAGTTGATCGTGAGAGGTTGGTCATAAGGGTAACATTTAATCGAGGAAAAGTGATCGCAATAAAATCTCGGCTCCAGCCTTTTAACGGCGACGGAGGCCTATGTGCACTAACCGGGGTGAAATGAACGCGGTCGTCGCTGTTACTATAGAAACAAGCTGTACACCCATATCTGGGAAATGAGAACTGTCGCTTTACTGACTGTGCTCATACACTTATAGGAAGACCTAGCGAAAACGAGGTTTCGTGGATTCACGTGCGGTGGTTTACACCGACAGCTGCGAGGTTGTTGGAAGAAACACGAAATTTCGAGTGCTGTAGAGCGCATGTGGCACGACTGCCCCATACACAGGCTGTCGGGGATATTGCAGTCGTGAAACGTTGTTTGTCGCGCTCGGTGACGTGATCCGTGCGAACTCTCCCACGCGGTATCTCACTGGTGAGAAATCGAAGCTGCGATACGGAATGACAATTGCGCACATGGCTCTAGCGCATTTGAAAGCGATTTCCATTTCGTGGCACGTATAAACGCTGAAGCGCTCTTTGCGATCGAAAATTCAATCACGTGAGTCTCCGACAGGGCTTAGTAACAGAGCACGACCAACATAGAGAGAACGGTGCCTTGAAATCAAATTTGCAAAGTTCTGCTCTTCGGTGACACAGGGGAGTTCTTTGGTCATAGCCCCTTCCTTTTTGGCTTTTTACGGTTTTTTTTCTGCTTCTATTTGCTCCTAGATGTAACTAAAGTTTCATACAAATAGTAAATCAACTATTTTTGTAAGCAGACTACCTAAGAAAAACATCAGCGAAAGCAACAAGTCAACAATGATAATCATAATCAAACAAGGTACAAACTGATCGAATTGAACAACAGTCCCGCTTATCTGTATTGCTGCTTTGAACAGAAGCGAGTTTCTTTTTTTCGGGCTATTGCAACTCCAGACTGCCGAGCCCACGACTGCCGAGCCCACATCATTGCATGATCCGCTTCGAAATTTGATTGTAGAATCCCTCAAACACCACCGTGCTTCCGTAAAGCGAATATTTTTAGGTACTATATCAACTATATCTAATTTACATAGACACTCAAGTTAATAGGTAGTGGGTAGACGCCTCATCTCACAACAAAAACAACAACAGGTTGTTGCTTGGATATATACTGAATCGATAAGTTTCTTATAGTGCACTGAGTGCGTGGCTGAAAGTTCATTCTTCGACTTTCAAATCCAATGAAACTGGTAGTGAGTACATATTTTTTTTAAATGGTGGTACTTTTTTTACGCATGCGAATATGATTTTACGTATAAGTACATAGCAAGTATTTGAGGCCTGTAGACACCTGCCCCGGCTTCATGCGGTGCAGAAGAGAAGTGTCACGGTTGTAAGCGGTCATCTTGTTCTGGGGACGAGTTCTGTTGCACGTGCGCGGAACCAGCTGCCGGGGCTTCATTTTGACGCCATATGTTTGCATGTGGCTGACGCAGGATACCCGGGCCGCGCTATCGCCAAGGGCGAGGACGGCAGCGCCCGCTGCTTGCGCTGGGCCAGGGACTTCGCTCGCAACTGGCACGCCGAAACATCGCCCTCTGAACCCGACCTGAGCGGCACCTGGGTCTCTCAACGGTACGCGACTGTGCCTATTTACTGTCACGAGTCGTAGTAGCACTGTAGCACACGTAGTCTCGTAGCCACATTTAGCAGCTTAGTTAGTTCCACAAGCTTTCTTCACAGCGCTGTTTTTCCTGCAAGATGCCAAGCATGATCCTGAAATGGAATGCGCTGGCTTTGATTGAAGCTGCTTGAGTATGCTAAACCGCTCGACAGTGCTCGACAGTAGTTGGTGAACAGCTGCAGAACATGCCTGTAAAATGTTTGCTTCAACAATTCCACTGGTAATACTGAGCCGTATCTTTTGCATAGAAGGTGCGGGCACGGATGAACTGTCGTCACATTCGCACAGTCTGACCACGGCCCAGGCAGTGGTGGGCGTGTGCTTGGGAGATATCTCCTCGAACAGCGAGCCCGAGGAGAACGGGCGTCGAGATAACAAGCGTTTGTGACGACGAATTCACAGCCGCCAATCCTACTTTAACCATACCTAAACTTTGCGGACAAGGCGGATTATCCTTTCGAAGGTTTTCGCCATCGTAGACATAGCGTATTTCAGATCGTTCAGGGCTTGCTAAGTGCGTGATAGTCTTTGGCTGAAGCTGCCAAAGACCTTGTGCTACGACACTATCCCCAGGTAAGAACGGTTCCTCTATCTTGTCTCACAAAGCGACACTTGCGATCATCTCGTTCTTCACGGGCGGACGAGATTTTGTGCGAGTACTGGCCGTACAGGAGTCATGTTAAAGAATGAGCGAATCCAAAAAACAAGTTCTTGTAGTGCACAACTCTATAGAGCGACATTTCACCGTGGAACTGTGAAGCTCGTAACAGCATTAACTCAGAGTAAAGCGAGCCAGCATCCGCATCACCTACTTCCTTTTTACTATATCATGAGTACTGTTCTCATCAAATAAAACTAGTAATTACATTTGCTTCAATGTTTAAAAATATTCATGTCAATTTAGAGAGCGAAAAAGAAAATATGACATTTAATGACATTTACTTAGAATATTTCATTGGTTTACGAGTGCCTCTTGTACCTCCTTGTAAATCGCATAGTACAGTTGACCCCTGAAAACTATATGTCGACAGGATGACAAAAAAAAAACACAAAAACAGGTACGGCCTGAGCACACTCCCTGCAGAGCGCAGGGAGAATACTCGATGTTTTGCTTCGTTTCGGAGGTTTAAAAGAAACCCGAAACGTGATTGGCTTTGATTTCGACGCTATACATTCCCTCAGCGAAAGCAATTTCGGCCCAGAATCATAAAACGACTTTCTTCAACTACTGTTTTTTCTCGACCTTCACATGTGGTATGATTGCCACTCCATCCGCGCTGAAACCAAAATCGGCCCGTCGGGAGCGATGTCTAATGAGAAAGGAAAAGAAATGAAGTGTAACATGTCATACCGGCCAAGTTTTCTCAAAGTGACATTGCTTACAATTATTAATAGATTGTATGCTCAGTTCCGTTTCTATTCATTACTTACGTCGAACGAAGTGTACAACGTGTGAAGTGTGAACGATGTCTGAAGTGTATTTCAGTACTCCATACTTTATCAGCCTTTTGGCTAACGCTATAAATAAATAAATAAATAAATAAATAAATAAATAAATAAATAAAATTCTCGGGAAGATGTTAGTGGCCGTACAAAGGTGTGTTCATGGACGACTGCATAAGCAGCACACCCTTTCCCATGTCGTGCACACGGAGCATCATAAGTTATAGAGTCTATGAGAACACGTATCTTACGTTAGCAGACATGACCGGAAAACAGGAAGCGATTTCCCTGAACATTCTAAGATTTAACTGACAAACCATCGCTGAAAGGATTTCAAGGCTCACGATGAAGTAAAATAAACAAATAAATAACGACATCGCCGCAACAGCTTGCCGACTTAGTGCATGGCATAAACTCTGTACTGGTTATCCACTATTACAAGCTGGCATTAGCACGCTAGTTGTCTGATGCGATCCATAGAACCCAAGAATTGATCTACGACGGCTAGTATCTACGGGTATACAAGCTTGCAAGAACCTTGCACTTGGTTCCTGCTGCAAGTGAAGTCCACTTCGTGGTGGTATACCATATAACTGCCGACATCGGCCTCACCCGCCAACCTCAGAGGCTTGCATTCTGCACTCTCCGTCCAAACGCCGTTCGTTGTATTTTATGTTGCTCAATTATTTGCGAACGTTATATGCTTCTTTCCCTTATTCTTTTCAATGCGTCGCTACGCTCATGTTTAACAGCCCCTGGTGACTTCCGTGAGAAAGCAGCAATAAATCATAGCAAAAACGAATGGTTGAGGAAAAGAGGGAAGCTATGCGACTATATATATATATATATATATATATATATATATATATATATATATATATATATATATATATATATATATATATATATATATATATATATATATATATATATATATATATATATATATATATATATATACACTCAGACACAGTTGGATGGTCCATTTGCGCTGCTGAACTTTGCTAGAGAGGACAAAGAGCTCCGCGAAACAAAAGACATGCGAGTCGCCAAGAAGGAAAAAGTTACTGCCGCGTTCTGACATTATTGGAAACAAACTTAGTTTCTTGCTCACTCCTCGCTGGCCCGAAAGGTAATTAAATCTGCACTCCTGGCACAGTCTCATCGGTTAAGATGTTCTGGTAGTTTATCGTGCTTCCTTTTTTGACGGTGTACTCGTTTGTATTTCGCGGGCACGCACGCATAGACGCTGTTAGAGGTCTGCGTGGATAGGCGAGAGTGCGAGTCACGTGACTGTTTCTGTGCTCAGCCCTTAAATCATTACAATACAGCACCACAGCTTCGTAGCCTTTGTGTCATAGCTATACATAAAGCTGTACAGCTTCGTTGCTGCATTTACCGTATCTTTTTTCATCGTAATGTCATAGCCGAATGCGTATCTCTCTCTTTCTTTCCCAGCTCAGAATATGCAGCTCTTTAACAGTTTCCAAGTTTCAAACAGTCGGTTCAGTACATCAGGTTTATAATGGACATATACTATGGAAAACGTTTTCACAAGGGGATGAGAAGGATACGCGTACAAAATAAAACAGAAAAGCACCAAAGATAATAGCACAGATGCCACGTAGCGTTTATTTTTGTTTTTAGGCGAGAAGCTCTTGTTAGTTTAACCTTGTCCTGCGTCAAGCGTAACCGAAAGTGGTGGACAAACAGGCGAACGCATGGATGGACGAACGGGTTGACGGAAGAACGGACGGACAGATGGATGGACGGATGGACGAACGGGTGGACAGACAGATAGATGGACGAACGCTTCACCCCACTCGCCATCATTCACTCCGTTGATATGCTCTATTTTTTTTACTCAGCAAAGAACTATACAGACGAAAACAAGATCGGTTTTTGGAGAAACTGGATTGGTCAGCCTGCGGGTGACAGGCCCAGCATGTTTGTGAGTGTGATGATAGATGAAATGAAATGATGCACAAAGTTGGGTGCGATACTCAATGAACACGTAGCACAACTTACCAGAGTGCACGTGCCAGACGGAACACGGATACTTTGACTTTGCATCGTTTTCCAAACAACGATTAAAGTGAGTTTGTGCTGGTCATCACCGCTTTCCTTTTGACTGCTTTAGATATACAAAGTATGAGTAGACATGCTCCTCTTCCACGTTCTCTGTAATTGAGTAATTACAGACGCGCGTCCAAAGTTAAGAGATCAACATTGCTAGAAGCAGGTATAGACAAGACAGAACTCACTAAACAAAAGCAGTCTCTCACCTCCACTATTTCGCTATGCCACTATCCGCAACTCAGATTCAGGCTCAGTAAAGATATATATATATATATATATATATATATATATATATATATATATATATATATATATATATATATATATATATATATATATATATATATATATATATATATATATATATATATATATATATATATATATATATATATATATATATATATATATATATATATATATATATATATATATATATATATATATATATATATATATATATTATTTATCCGTGTTGCGGATAGTGGCATATGTGTAAAAAATAATGCACAAGAAAAGGAAGAGAAATATGCTTATTTGAAGTCTGTAGATGGGGCTCATTATATAGCAACCTCGCCCACGGTTAGTAACAATTGGGTTCAGACTGCATCAATCACTTTTTTTTTCTAAGCTGTCTGTTATTGATCTTTCAAATCTTACAGTGCAGGGCTGGAAGACGTCCGAATGGCGTGTGTACGCTGCGCCATCTCATGCACTCTCACCTCTGCAGTCACGGTAACGGGTGAATGGGTCTAAAGCTGCTGGACCACTTTGCTTCGGTGAATGGTGTTGTACTAGTAGTAACTTCCTTTGGCTTTCTAGTGGCAGTGATACTTCATTTAGCCGATCCTCTTTGGAAATTAGTAAAAGAGTGTCTACGCCAACTGGCGTCGGCAAACTAAACGACTTTGAAGACGTGAAATTCTCTATAAGTTCCTGATAAGGTTTCGGAGACCGCTAACAGAATTCAGTGCGCAATGTAACCGCTTTATTAGCTCAAGCATAAACGTATTGCGTGGGACTTTTCTTTTTCTATTAAGCGAATGTCCGTCGCAGTGGTGTATAGCTTACGGTGCTCGGCTACCGACACGAAGGTCGCGGGTTCGATCCCGGCAGTGGCAGTCGCATTTAAATGGAGGCAAAAGTGTAGAGGCCCGTTTACTGTACGGTGTCAGGGCGCGTTAAAAGAGTACTTCACCACGGCTTGCCTCACAGTCGTATCATGGTTTTGGCGCGTTAAATCCTAGAGAGAGTAAGAGAGAGAGAGAGAGAGAGAGAGAGAGAGAGAAGTAAACGTTTATTTTGAAACAGTGCCCCGAGCAAAGCCCGGTGTCACCCTGAGGTGGGACGGCTCCTTAGTTCAGGAACGCTTTGGCTTCTACTGCCCTCTTGGCCCTGGCGACGACTTGTTGTTGGTCTTCAAGGTCCT